GAGAGAGAAGGAGGGAGTGAATGCAGTGGTGCCTGGACTCGGTAGAGGACCCCCCAGGTCCAGCACAGAGGGGAAGAGGGTGCTCAGAATCATTCCTTCATGCTCCTGTCACACCTCAGTCCGGCAGCAGTCACTGCTTAGCCATGAGAGCCAAGAACCTTTAAGAAGCACCTGCTCCTGGCCTTTGCTCTTCATGCAACGCATGTTCCTGAAAATAGCCAAGGTTCTTATTAACCCTTTTCCTCTCTCACTTTTCTTTACTCACTACCCACCCACTTTCCCTTTCTGTAGACTTCAGCGTAGTGGGATGAAAGCTTTTCCTCATTTATTTTAACTCTATGGAAGCATCTCTCACTCCCCCAAAAGTCAGAATACTTCAACAATATTGGCCATGAGCTCAATGCCGAGGGTGCGTATAAACAATCAGTTAGACTAAAACAATGATCTTTCAACACATGACAGCTGGTCATTAAAAGGAAGTCACCGTCACCCGCACACTGGTGTCTTGGTTGCTGCTCATTTCTCAAAAACTAAGCCGGTTCTGCCCTTGACATCACAAGATACTTCAAGGGTAACTGAGGAAAGTGAGTGTTATCATCTCAGACTCGCCTTGGGGCTTTTATCACCTGCTCTGAGAAAAAATAAACTGGAAAAGTAAATATAGCGAAGTGTGATGGCAAGTTTTCTGCCCAATTTCACCAGGACCTGCTGACTCACCCTACTGACACCCAGAGGGCCAAAGCGTGGCCTTCCTCAAGGGGTAGCCACATCCATTGATATGCTTGTTATTTAGCCAATTTATCAATATGCTTTTTTATTTTCCAGAGGAGCTAGTTTTTAAATGTTATAATGCACTTGTAGGTTGAAGGCATGAAAGGAAACATTATACCCTCCTTTTAAAATCCATCAAAATTATGATTACCGGGCCTTTAAGATTTTTTGATAATGGTTGTGGTAGTAACTCCGCAGTATGGGAAAGCAGACATTTTAAAACTGACAAATTAAATTTTAGGAATGAAAAAGAAAGCTTCAGGCTTAATGATCTTGATTTGGACTTCCATCTCTACCTTACACGTCAGAGACAAAAAGGTAAAAATACTTTAATTTTTAAATGTCATTAACTTTAAAGAGTTTGTTTGTTAGGTTGCCATTAGTGTTCCTAGAAAGGTGAAATTTTCCATCACTGAGAAAATCTAAAGTCATAGATTCTTAAATCACTGAGTCAAGTCAATTGTTGGTGATCTAGTTATGGAAGAGTTTAATGACACAGACATCCTATCATAGGTTGGCAATGCTATTCCTACATGGCTGGCACTGGGGTAAGGGCATCCCCCTAGTATTCTGCTCAAGACCCAGAGCAGAAGAGGAAGCCAAAAGACCAACAATGCCTGATGAGAAGTCCTGGAAGCAAGGCCATTGGTGGGCAAAGAAGGAAGAAAGGGGGGTGCATCTCCCTGACATTGTAAATACTACCTTTCCAGGCCAGGAAGGCAGCTGGGGTGAACTACCTGATCCGTCATCATGGATCAACCTGCTCTGTCCCGGCTCACTGTGTGCTCAGCTCCTAGGTCGTCTATTGTCTTCCCATCTCCGGTCCCAGCCCTTCCCCTCCCTTCTCTGGGCATGTACCCCCATCGTTCCTTCCGCCCTCTCCTCTCTCCACTTAACAAGCAATGATATCAGCCCTCTATTCTACATCATTTTAAGTTCCAATTATTTTTTCCCCTCCAAATGCCGAACAGTTATTGGGCCAAGGCTTGCCATGCCCTCACCAGAGTTCCAGATTTCGTATTCATTGTGTAAGAGCTGTTGGTGACTTGGGCGTCAAGTTTGGGATTCCCAAACAGGCGGGTGCCATCCTTAAACCACGTGTATGTAGGAGCTGGGTTCCCTTCTTTGTCTTGACACCGCAGCTCCACCACGGTTCCACTCAGAACAGAATTGGGGACTTCACACGTTGGAACTCCTGGAGCCACTGAGGGACGGGAGTCAAATGGCATTGGTTATTTATAAGCCAAACAAGGATTTTAACCACCAGGAGAAGATTGATCAGACATCTGTGAGTGAGACTGGCTACTTGTTCAAAGACCTATTGCCTTTCTTCACGGGCACATAGCTAGACCACATTTGCCGGCTTTCTAGCTGCCTGATGGGGTCACGTGCATGAGTTCTGTGCCATTTCCAGGCCCGCTCCATAAAAGCCTTCTGCACGACTCTCCATTCATTCACTCCCCCACCCCCTCCCACTACCAAGTAGGTGTCAACACCCATGGTGACCTCAGAAAGCTGTGTTTTGATGATAACAGGTCTACATTAGGTTGGGTCTCCAATAATCTCATCAAGTAGAATTATATAACTCCACCACTACAATCTCTGCCCCAACCATTCAGACTTGACCTCCATGAGAAACTTCTATTATGTTAAGCCACTCGCTGAGAGTACTTTTCTGTTATAACAGCAAGCATGATGTTAGCTAATACAACTATTCTTCAGATGAACAATCTCTACTTTCTCCCTCACCAGTTGTTTTAATGTTTTATTACCAACTGTATTCAAAAGAAATCAAATGTGAGTGCATTTTTTCAGGCTCAGTACTCAAACTAATATTCTATTCTGGGCTGGGCTGGTGTGGCTCAGTGGTAGAGTGTCGACCTCTGAACCAGGAAGGAGGTCACGGTTCAATTCCCAGTCAGTGCCAGTGGGGGGCGACCAGGAGGCGGCCAATCAATGATTTTCTCATCACTGATGTTTCTCTCTCCCTTCCTCTCTGAAATCAATAAAAATATATAGTTTTTTAAAAAATCCTATTATGCCTAGAACTGGCCAAATTAGAGAATCTGGCCGCAGGGATTTGTAAGTAAACCAGACTTTACTAGATAACTTAAACCCAGGGAAACCCAGAATTCTAAGTGGTGAGCAGAATTTTAAGACAGTCCCCCAAATTCCCCAGCCCTGGTATACATATACTTTCTCTCATTTATTCCATCAAACATTGATCTAGGTATCTAGGAGATGAAGTTAAGGTCCAAAATCCACTGCTTCTGACAGGGGCTGACTTAACCAACCACTCTTTTAAATGTGGTTTTCTCTGGCTCATCACAAAAGGGAAAATGAAAGATTCAAAGCCCAAGCACAATTAGCCATTCTTTTGTTAGACTGAAGATTTCAGCCTTGTAAAACCCTGGGCAGAGAGCCTGTCGGGTCATGCTGGACGTCTGATCTGCAGAACCGTGAGCTAATTAGTGGGTGGGGTTTTATGCTGCTAAATTTGGGATCACTTGTTATGTAGCAATAGAAGGCCAATACTCCAGCTGATTCTCCTGCAAGGTTTTCTGAATTTCTTCTATACTAGTATGTCACTAGTATTAAAGAAAGAGCCTGGGTTATATAGGAAAAAGAAGTGATTTTATTTTATTATTTTATTTTTTATTGATTTCAGAGAGGAAGGAAGAGGGAGAGAGAGATGGAAACATCAATGATGAGAATCATTGATAGGCTGCCTCCTGCACACCCCATCAGGCCCTTTCAAGTCTGGGGATCGAGTGCAACCTAGGCATGTGGCCTGACCGGGAATCGAACCATGACCTCCTGGTTCATAGGTCGACGATCAACCACTGAACTACACCAGCTGGGCAAAAAGAAGTGATTTTATTCCTCTTACTTGGTATTTTATACTAACATCTATGAAGGAGCAAAGATCATGTTCCTCTATCAACAGTAATCACGAGCTGTTAATATCCATCAGTGATTTTTACAGAAATTAACCATAAGGCCTTTGTGGTTAGCTCCAAATCCTGACCCTACCAGCTGTGTGGCCTTGGGGAAACCATTTAACTTCTATTTCCTCATCTGTGAAACTCAGGTTGTCAGTGACGATGAAGTAAAATTACATATTTGAAAGGGCCTGATGCATAGCAGCTGCACAATAAATGCTAATTTCTTTTCTTTACCAAATAATTTCTAATACTTCCCCTGGCCTACCTTTTTGTTGTACTGCTTTTTTATCATCTCATGGGATACTCTCTTGTGTGGTAGGAGAAATACTACATATGCTGAAAGCTATTGCAGGAAATTGCTCCCACGTACAGTGTAGGCCCATTAAGATTTACATCCATCTTGAATGAAGAGAGGTTTTGTGATCACGAGTTAGTAATAGTCACAGTTCATCAGCCAATGAGGTGAAGTGAGAAATGGTCGAGACTCTGCAGGGAAGATGGTGCTGGTGGTCTCTGTGACTCTGCTGCCTGCGCCCTGAGTTGCCCCACTGCCCCCGGGGCTGGGTGATGGGGAGGAGGGCAGGGAGCAGTAATCACACAGATACAAGTACATCACCTAATACTTCTAGAGTGACCGTGTTCTCTTCCAGCCTTTGGCCTTCGTTAGTTGGGGTGCTAACTTCACAACGGTATTTCCCGGCATCATTTCTTGTAACATTTTTGATCCTGATACTGAAATCCATCATCTGAGCTCGATCTTTAAAGTCACCTTTTAGAAAGAGAAGACAACGGTGTGGATAATAATACAAGTCACTGTCTATATACTACCTTCCTCAAGTCACTTCATTCAATACCCAAAGCAGTTATTTTTCAATCAATAAACTTAACTTAAAAATTGTATATGGGTGCTGCTATTTCAAACTTATTTTCTTTAATCACCCACCTTAGAGCGATCAATGCATGGCTGTCTTATTGTATCTGTACTATAACCACTGAGTTATTGTGCAACAAATCCCAGACATCCTAGCATTTCTTTCATCCATCAACACTTTAAATCAAAAGCTCATCCCATATTCAATAGGAAGAATAGGGAGTAGAAATGTAAGACAAATAAAAAATAAGAGAAAGCACTGGGTAAAGGTAGTTGCATTTATCCTCCTCTAAGTCTTACTCCCTAAGCGTTGCAGTGTTGGAGATACTGAAATACGATGAAGTTATTACAACTGAGCAGTGACCCGGCATCCCACCGGCACCATCTTGTCTTCCTTTCTCTCGAGAGGAAGAACAATTGCATTTTACACCCTGGAGGTCTGAGCTGAGCAATGCAGGGTCCAGGGTCCTGGGCCTCAGTGGAGTTCGCATCCTTCTGTGCTGTGTTCTCTGTTTCGGGGGCTGTGTGCTAGGTCTCCGTCACTCACTGTTGGTTTCATCTCCCACTTACAAACACATATTTTCAGCAGCCAGCTATGTCCTGTTCTCATGTGTAAACTAAAGGGTAGCAGCTGTGCTTGGTGTTTGTTCTCTTGCTCTCGCCTCGAGTCCACAGCTACTTACCTCTGAGATCCTGGCCGTAGTAGACAAAGGAGACACTCTGCCCCAGTTTCTTCCACTCTAATCTGGAGGCCGGGGTCTTCCTTGGGAATTTGCAGGTTAAAATAACCTCTAGAAACAACAACAACAAAAGAACTTATTTGCTAAATTGTCCCTCTGAAATTATATTTCACGTAATTAAGCAATGAATTTTTAACATCCTTAAGTTATTCCTTTGTATTTCTATTCATTCATTTCATCCATCCATCCATCTATCCATTCATTCATTTTTTAAAAATATATTTTATTGATTTTTTACAGAGAGGAAGGGAGAGGGATAGAGAGTTGGAAACATCGATGAGAGAGAAATATCGATCAGCTGCCTCCTGCACACCCCCTATTGGGGATGTGCCTGCAACCAAGGTACATGCCCTTGAATGGAATTGAACCTGGGACCCTTCAGTCCGCAGGCTGATGCTCTATCCACTGAGCCAAACCAGTCAGGGCTCCATTCATTCATTTCATCAATCCATCCATCCATTCATTCATAAATTACCTCAACATGTACCACATGGCTTAACCCAAAGGTAAACTGAAAGCATTATAGCTCTTCCACATAATAATTGTGTGACACTTTGTTACTTTCCCTAGTTCTTGGGCATCAGTTACTATCTGTAAAATAAGATAACATCTCAAATTCTTGTGAGTCTTCAAATACAATAATATATGCACAGTAAGTACTTTAAAATGGCAGCAATGATTAATTATCTTATCCTTTCCAGCCTCAGACTTTGAGGATTTTATAGTCTGGAAAAAGAGGCAAATCAGATGATGCCATTTCAGTCCAATGTGCTGAGTGCCAGGGTGGAGGTAAGCTGAGCATGCTTCATAACCAGTGCCCAGGAGAGGCACTAAGTCCAGCCCAGGCCATGCTGTGCACATGCACAAACGTCCCCTCAACTGGCTACATTCCCACTAAGATCCCTTCTTTGGTTACCCTCTCTACGAATGCATTAATACAAACCCAATATTGTCTTCTAACAAGTTATTGAATCCTACCCCTTACCACAATCCAGATAAATTATGGTAAGACTCTGTCATATGTTTGATTTTGATGGTAAACAGATTTAATGCCATTAAAAAAGACACCAACTCAGGATATTACATGATAAGGTAGATTAGAAAGCAATACTTATAATACTATCCTGTTTGTATTAAAAATATTCACATAGGTATGAACAAAAAGCCTGTATAAATATATATGAAAATATTAACTCAGTGATGATTTCTGTGTGATAGATTATTTTTCTTTTTGTTTGATGTAGTTGCTAAAGTGTTTTTTTAGTTCCACATGTATTGATAGAATTATAGAAATAGAATAAAAGGTAATGGAAAATAGAAAGTAGATTAAAGAAAGGCAAGGGGAAAAAAAAACCCCTAAGTTGTTTTCAAAGATGCCTAAAGATGTAAAAGCAGGTTTTACCTTACAGAGAGCCATCATTCTACAGACATGTTTACGGTTAGACTGCAGAGACAAACGCGTGCTGAGGAACTGGTCTGAGGAAACACAGTTCCATTCTGTTGATTAAGGAGAATGGGTGGGGACTTTCCGGAGTGTTGAGTTTTAGATCGGTTTCCTTCCCGTATTTTGTTGAGTTTCCAACAATTAAACACACACCCACACTCATTTTTAGCCCATATTCCTTGTTCTTAGGAATACGTTTACTTTCAATTGTTTCACATATTTAACTAGACACACGCACACCCCTCTCGGTGAATTCTTCCTAATTTCTCTCCTCACTGCTCTATGGGGAACCTTTGCAGAAATTATATTCGAAAACATAACCAAGGATTTTCCTAAATGCAGCGGACTCCGCTCCAGCCTCATTCGCACTGAGCACGTGAACTGTGGGGAAATGGTCTGTGAAACTTGTCTAAAATACACTGAGTACTTAGCGTGCGTCCGATACTGTTCTGGAGCCATGTCAAAGGGCAACACAAAGGTTTCTGTCCTTTTGGATCTTACAATTGGCAAGAGGTCAGAAAATCATGAAGTGAATTATACAGTATATTAGTATAAATGTTATAGAAATAGAGTAGATCAGAGTACAGGAGGCATGGGAATTCTGGGGGACGGGTGCAATTTAAAAAAAGAATGTAGTCAGAGTTCACCTCATTTTGAAGGTGACATATGAACAAACACTTAAAAGATGGAATTAGATCCTGTCTGAATGGCTCCGTGGTTGAGCATGGACCTATGAACCAGGAGGTCACAGTTCGATTCCTGATCAGGGCACATGCTGGGGTTACGATCTTGATCCCCAGTAGGGGGCGTGCAGGGACAGCCGATTAATGTTTCTCACATCAATGTTTCTCTCCCTTCCTCTCTGAAGTCAATAAAATAATAATAATAAT